CCCCCACCACATAAAATCTACTTTTAATTGGTCTTCATAACTATAAAAAGAAAGAGATAGTGAATTACACTTGTGGGACTTTTATATAAGTGTATATATACTTAATATTCTTTCTGATGGTGAATAATATATAAAAGTATATTTTAATTGTCCATATGTGTGTAGTTTAGTTCTTTTAAATAAGATTTTAGTTGCTCTATATTTTAGTCTGCACATAAAATTATAATGAACTAAAGCATCATTACCAAAAATATACAAATCCAACTTGTATACAATTATATTTGTAAACTCGTTACAAAAGAGAAAATAGAATTGTGACATGGGGACATCTTTAAACACTATAAATTTGGCAATCAGTTGCTTAATTATATTTGTCCTATATATACTTTATAGAAAGATGAAAAACATATACTTTAATAGAAAAATGGCATAATTATTATTACATAGTACGTAGAACATTTATTACATAGTACATAGAATAATAAAACTAAACTAAACTAAACAAGTGATCCACCACTTATGGATATGGCCATAATTGCGACGACAGGTTGGGCACGTAATTTGGCGGCCCATCCAAGTTGAAATGCACTCAATGTGGTACAAGTGAGTGCAAGGAAGAATATAAATATTGTCAGTTGATTCAAAGTCGAATAAACATATATGATATGTAGTGTCACGATCACCTAACTCTATATCAGAATAGGCCAAACGTGGAAACAAGCGAAGAGTTTCTTATCCACGTTTTTTAATGGCCCATTTCTGCCCTATTTTAACAAGTAAAAACATTAAAAGTAAAAAAACACCTATGATTGATACTACTATTATAGCTTGAACTCCGTGGTGAAGGAAATACTTCTTATCTGATTCAGCCAAAATAAAAATGAATGAACTATTTTTGAAATAAAACTGCTGATGAGAGGGAGTTGCTCGGATGGTAAGCACCCTTCACTTTCAACCTGAAGGTTGCGAGTTCGAGTCACCAAGGGAGCAAAAGGGGTGGGAGCTCCTAGGGAGCGTAAAAAAAAGGGGGGGCCCCCGGGGGGGGAAAAAAAAAAAAAAAAAAAAAAAAAAAACCTGCTAATTATATTAATTAATTTAAAAACACTATTTTATTATGAGACGATCTTCCAAATATTTATAAAACTGAAAACCATATAAATCTAGCAGACGAAAATATTTTATTAGAAAAATGGCATACAAATTTTGTTATACTGGCAGACGAAAAAAAAGAATGTTCCTAATAATTTTACAATGGTCTATTCTGTAACAAATTCTAACTAACAGATATTCTATCCTAAAATATCAGCAATATTCTAAATTGGATTGTTTGGGCCACTTCTTCCATAATAGGAAACACAAATATTCCAAATCATGAAAAATAAAATAGAAGAAAATTGTTCCTATTTAATTTGTTCTATACCTTTAATTTGAATGTTATGTTGCCTTTCAAAGAATTGCAAAGGGAAAAAAAAAATCAATTTCTTTATTTATTATTTCTGACTACATATATAAAAAGTGCTATCAATTTTGAGAAATATTAAGTGAATTGTTGCAATCAACTTTATATAATTAAGGTCACTCCAAACAACGATTGGATCACATGAGTATACGCCTTAGACTTTGCGTGAATTTAGGACACGTAATGATAAGTTAGTTAATTCATCTGGCAGCTAAAAAAAATTCAAAAGAGGAATATAAAGGTCATAGGTTCGAATTGTGAAATCATCAAGATATGCGGCATATATTAATTATGGTCGTGGAAAGGATGTTTGTCCGAACTTCCTTTGACAATATAAGGTCATAATAATTTTTACTTGCATATAGTAGATGATGAATTTTCTTGACAAAAATCTTGTATGCCCTCCACTGTACATTACATTTACACCTCTTGAAGTACGTCCCTTCCTTCAGGGGCGCGTAGGCACACGTATGCCAGGGGTGTCCCCCTTTGTCGGAAAAAATACCACATATACAAGTAAAATGATACACGAAATAATTAAATAACATATTTTGAACACCCTTGACATAATAGATTGATATAGCCTAGTGATTTAAGATGTCTTAAATGTGTGTTTAGACATCTTTAATTAGCTAGTGCTTGCGCGTTCAATCCCTTTTTAAAAAGAGCTTTTGTTATTTAATTTTTGGACCCTCTTTGTGAAATTTCTAGCTAAAAGAAGTTTTTGTTATTTAATTTTTAGACCCTTTTCGTAAAATTCCTGGCTCTGCCACTGCCTTACTTAAACTTTGCTTGAATGTGCACGGGCTACCCTTATTCCCTTTCTATTGTTTGTAGTCTTTAATTACCACAATGGTAACATGAAAACTTGAACCAAATTTAACAATAATTCTGAGTTTATGTTTATCACACATAATTGTTCTATCAATAATAATATAAACAACAACTTAGTATATAGTCTATATATACACACAAAAGCAATTATAAATCAAACCAAACCAACGTTGGATTTTTATCATTCTTAACACTTTTTCTTTTTCCATAACAAGTCATCTTCACCATTAAATTCAAAACACAAGTAAGCTTCTGCTTATGTTTAATAAGGACCATAATTGTTTTAAAAGAACACACAACATTTCAAAAGATCACCTTTTTCTTCTCTGCATATATATTTATCATTCTTCTCATTTAGTATTTTGTAAACATTTGATTTTGCATTGATCACATGAAGTCTTGTTAGCTGACGCAACATCGACGACATTGTTTACCTTTGCCTTCACACCTTCAAGTATATCATCACCAAATGTATATATGTTTGTAGTCACCATTTTTCTCTTCTCCATGGGAAAGGAAAAAACGAGCTAGCTCTCTGTTATCTTCTAAATTATATTATGTTACTCCAATTTATTTAAACTATGATAATATTTCATCTGCAGATTAAATTATTGAAAATGCCGTTCCTACAACCAGATGACTCAGATAACGCGTACATAGTTAAGCACTTAATTCAAGTTGTGATAGCAGTATTAGTTATGAGTGTTGTTTTACTTTTCATGTTTCTACTTGTTAAAATAGGGCAGAAATGGGCCATGAAAAGACGTGGACAAGCAACTATTCGCTTGTTTCCACGTCTACCCTATTCTGATATAGAGTTAGATGACCGTGATACTACATGTCGGATATGTTTATCTGACTTTGAATCAACCGACAATATTTATATTCTTCCTTGCACTCACTTGTACCACAGTGAGTGCATTTCAACTTGGATGCGTCGCCAAATTACGTGCCCAACTTGTCGTCGCAATTATGGCCATATCTATAAGTCTAAGTCGTGGATCACTTGTTTAGTTTAGTTTTGTTTTATTATTCTACGTACTATGTAATAAATGTTCTATGTATTATGTAATAGTAATAATTTTGCCATTTTTCTATTAAAATATATACTTCTATATATTCGTAATGTGTACATTTAATAATTTTCATTACATTTATTAGCTAAGTAATAAAAACTTCCGTCGCTCACTTCAATTATCCATTTTATCAACAATTTTAAGGTTATGAGGTATCTTTTGTGTGAATTGTGGGCCCATTAATTTTGTAATTTGGCACATTTATTAGTTTGTAAAAAGTTATTAAAAAAATGTGGGCCTCACTTGAATTGCTCATTATTATCTGTAATGGTAAGCATCTTTCAAGTATAACTCTTATTCACATTTCTTAAGTAGTAAATAAAAATAGTTGTTGCTCTATTAATATAAAAATACTAGTAAACTTATTCGTGTTTTGGGCGAAATATTGTTTTACTTAGAGTTGAGATTTGTTTTCCCTGCTAAACAAAATAATTTTAAAAAAATCCTAACATTAAGTTGACACCAAGAGAAATCAATCAATTTTTTAAAATCTCTTGGATATAATAATGGTGTAATATTTTAAAAAAAGTAACAAATTGAAATTAGCATACCAAAGTTTTTAATAAAGCATTATGCTCTCTTCTAATTAACATCAATTCAAACACAATGTCATTTATGAAAGAATT